TATATATGATCTACGGGTCAATACAGAGAGATCCAACTATTAAGATTTATTGTGGTGAAGTGATGTTAGGATTTTGAGCTTAAGTTTCAGGTGCAGGAAGGGTCATTATAGCCTGGGAGGGTCATGTATTTTAATGCTGGTCTCTTCTCATTATGTAGGATCTGTTGGATTTTGTTATTTACATTTTTATCCGCTTTACCACTTCTCCTTAATTCGTCTTTCCTGTGTAGATTCTATCTTTTCTTTTCTTTCTTTCTTTCTTTTTCTCTTTCTTTCTTGCTTCCCCCCCCCTCTCTCTCTCTCTCTCTCTCTCTCTCTCTCTCTCTCTCTTCTTCATTCCTCTCTCTTTCTATTTATCATTTTCACTCTTCCTCGATCTTTATCTTCCCTCTTTTCTGTTCGTTTATTCTCTCCCCTTCTCTTCCTGTTTTTCTTCTTCCATCATTCACACTCTCACTAACGTTGTTTTCGTTAGTGTTCTCTCGTCTCTCCCTGGACTCACACCTCTCCAATTTTTATCTCACTCTGTCTCACTCACCTTTCCTCCATTCCCTCCTTCCTTCTCTCCCTCCCTTCCTTCCCCTTTACCTCCCTCCCTCCCTTACCTCCCTGCTTCCCTTCCACCTCTTCTCACCTCTCCCTCACCATCACCTCAGCCGATCTACCCCAGCCCTCACACTCTCCCAAGACCTCAAACCTCTTCCTAAACTCTCCCACAAACCTCACTCTCTCCCTCTCTCGGCAGCACCTGGAGTCGTTCATGTGGCAGCGTGATCCTGGGGGCGGGAACACGAACCTGGGGGCAGCAGGGGGCGGCGGGGGAGGAGGCGGCAAGACCTTACTGCAGAGGCAAAGGGAGAAAAAGGAAAGGGCGAGGCTGAAGGCTAACTTGAGGCGCCAAGCTAACACCGTCCTGCAGCGCCTCCAGCAGCAACAAGAGGTGAGGAGGAGGAGCTGAAATGTAGCTACACACACACACACACACACACACAGACACACACACACACACACACACACACACACACACACACACACACACACACACACACACACACACACCTTCTGTTAATCATCTGATACCACAACAAAACCACCCACCCCAACAATCCCTCCCATCAATCCCCCTCCCTAACAACCCCTCCCCCAACACCCCCCCCTCCACATTAACTAAGGACGACGCCACCTAATGAGATATGTCTCCGCTCCGGGCCATAATTAGTCAAATTTATATAGCCTGGCTCTTCTACCAGTGGATTAATGGCACCACTACTCTCCCATCGCTGCCAGGACAGTGCCACTCTGCCTTATATCACTGGTTGTGGAATCTGGGCGGCGTGTGGGGATGGGAGGGGGTGGGAGGGAGGGAGGGAGGGAGGGAAGGAGGGAGGGAGGGACGGAATTAGAAATGGAAGGAGTGAGGGAGGTAAGGAATGAGGCAGGGAAGGAAGGGGAGGTATGGAGTTAGGGAGAGAGTGAAGGAGGGATGGGGTTAAGACGGGGGGAGGGAAGATATGAGGGTACGACTGAAGGATTGAAGGAGAAAAGGGAAAGGAAGGGACGTGAGGAAGTTCGTGAGTGAATCAAAAGGAGGGAGAAGGAAGGAAGGAGGAATGGAGGAAAAAGAGAAGAAATAAGTCAGAAATTAAACATGTTATCATTCATTGCTAATAATAAGCTGTCTGTCTCACTACCGTTCTCTCTATCTCTACCCGTCTCTTCTATAACCCTGTCTCTTATATCTTTCTGTCTCTCGCAATTTCACTCTACCTTCATCCTCACTTTTTACCTTCCACTTGTCCCTCCTCCCCCTCCCTCCCTCCCTCCCCTCCCCTCCCTCCTCCCTCCCTCCTTTACTCCCTTCTCCTCCCTCCTCCTTCCTCCTTCCTCCCTCCCCAGTCACTAGGTAATTCTCGTCACATAGGCTCCAAGATGTGTAACACTAATGTGTGTGTCCTGATGGTGATGCAGACTTGTGTTGGAGGAGGGAGGAGGAGACAAATGCTGAAATTTCCCTTTGGTGTTTTGAATTTCTATGGTGGGATGATGGGGGAGACGGAGGCGGGAGTGGTAGAGGGAGGGAGTAGGGTGAGGGAGGGTAGCGGAGTGGTGAAGGGGGGTGGAGTTTGGAGGGCTTTCCTTCATTGTCTCTTCAGTTTCTCCTTCTTTTTTTCCTTCATAATTATCCCTTAATTTTTTTATCTTTAATCTCTATCTTCTTTTCTTAATATTCTCCCTTCCTTCATTATCACTGTGTGTTTCTCTCTCTTACCCCCTCCTCTCTCTCTCTCTCCTTCCTTCCTTCCTTCCTTATTAGCCCTTCTTTCGTAATTACTCTCTCTCTCTCACACATTCGCTTCCCCCTTTTCGTTAATATCTCCCTTCATCATCATTATCTGTCATCGCCCCTCTACTCATCTTTATTATCGTCTGCCTCTCTCCCTCCTTCCTTTTATTTTTATGACCTATCTTATCTTTCCTGCCTCGAGTATTTATATAACAGCAATTAAAGCAAGACAGACAGACAGACAGACAGACAGACAGACAGAGCTCCCCCCCCTCTCTCTCTCTCTCTCTCTCTCTCACACATCGCCTTATTCCCCCCAAATGCTCCAGACCATTAACATAACAACATAACTACCAAATAGCCTCGTTAACAGTACATACTCCCTTTGCGATCGTGTAATAAAAAGAAATATGATGAAATTACCTAACGACCCAATTACATAGTTAACGGCGTCATAGCATCGTTCTGTAGTACATAACATGAGCCTGTAACACTCCAGCAGTCTTGTTAGGTCGCCGTGATAGGTGACTGTGATTGCCTCATTGGGCAGTTTGGTCGTTTAGGGAACTTTCACTAACTCCTGTTACTGCCTATTAGCGGAATATAGTAGTTAACCTTTTAGATTCGTCCGTTTAATTATGGTAAGTTGTTTTTACTCAAGGAAAAAAATATAAAATCATTTGAAAATAATTAATAATTCGTCACAGTTACACAATAATAAATAATAATTCGTGTATAGATTAAAGGTATTTATCAGTAGGAGTGTAATGGCCCGTGTGTGTGTGTGTGTGTGTGTGTGTGTGTGTGTGTGTGTGTGTGTGTGTGTGTGTGTGTGTGTGTGTGTGTGTGTGTGTGCACGTGTGTGTGTGTGTGTGTGTGTGTGTGTGTGTGTGTGTGGGGGAGTGGCGGCAGGTGTAGCTTCTCCACAAAGTCAAGGCTAGACTCCTCTTACTGTGTGGTGCTGGCCTACCTGAAGTTATTTGCATATTATTTATCAGATTGAAGCGACCACGTGCCCCTCATCCCCTCACCTGCCCCCCATCCCCTTACCTTTACCCCCATCCTTACCTGTATCCCCATCTCATCATATCCCCCTATCCCTCCTCTGCAGCACCCCAATCCCCACCTGTACCCCATCCCCCTCAACCCTCACCTATGATGTTGCAATGTTGTATGAGAATTAATTAACTCTAATATACCTTTACGAATCATAATTACTTTCTCTAATTATGTTTTAATAACGACCTTAACACACACACACACACACACACACACACACACACACACACAAGATCCACTCAGGTGTTCAGCGTATTTTAGTTATCAATATGAGTCTAAATTATGCTAAACTACTGGTTATTATCTTGTAGTTTATGTACCTGTAATTTTGTATGTCTGACTGTATTTGTTATCTCTGTATTTGTCACTTAATAGCTCCCCTAACTGCTAACACCAATCACCCACTTAAAGACCTCACTAACTATACTAACACAAGTAGTTATCAATCCTCTAAACAAGCAATTATGTCCAGGGAACTCAATATAACTGTCAGGTTGTTTCTATACAACAACACTTAACAACCCAACTGCCCATCTAAATAGCCCAACTGCCCACCTTAATTTACCTATCCATTTTAACAGCTCAACTACCAATCTTATCAATTCAACTACCAACTAACAGTAATCTTAACGACTCGACTCAACTCATAACAACTTAACGACCCATCATAAACACCGCTAACTAATGAACCACCCACTTAGAACATCTCTAACGATCCAATAACCAATTCCAACCACAAACATCCCCATACAATTCGGTCTAACGAGCTTACCACTTAATAACCTCGTTCAAAACAGATCTGGACGTACCACTAAGGGAGGCTGAGGAACTACTGGCGGAGGTGAAGTCGGCGGGTGTGGGTGGGCGTCTGCTGTGCCGCCTGCTGGTGGGCGTGGGCGTGGCGTTGCCCAGCTGTGGCCGGCACGACGACGCAATAGCTGTGTTGACTGATGCTGTACATATAGCGCGAGCCAAGTAGGTGTTAGTGTGATGATAGAGAGGTTAGTGTGATGCTAGAAAGGTTAGTGTGATGTTAATGTGATGTTAGAGAGGTTAGTGTGATGCTAGAAAGGTTAGTGTGATGTTAGATATGTTAGTGTGATGTTAGATATGTCAGTGTGATGTTAGTGTGGTGTTAGAGACGCTAGTGTGATGTTAGTGTGATGTTAGAGAGGTTAGTATGTGGTTAGTATGAGGTTAATGTGATGTTAGAGGATTAGTATGAGGTTAATGTGATGTTAGAGAGGTTAGTATGTGGTTAGAGAGAGGATAGTATTTACGTTAAGAACTTTCCACCCTGAGAAGGTAAAAACAATCATTAAGTTTTACCTATAAACGTCAATGTAATTAAAGTCGTAAAAAAAAAAAAACTAAGTCGGTGGTGAAAAAAATCTTAATGAGAGTAGGAGCTTGAAAGAAAAAAAGAGGAAAGAAAAAGAAAAAAAAGAGGAAAGAAAAAGGAAAAAAAGAAGTGTAGTTTTCTATGATTTGATTTAATGGGAGACTATTGTATGGTGAGGTGTTAATATCTTTTATATTTTATCTATTTGTATATTCATAATTAATATGTTTAGGTTTAAAAATAAATAAATATATAAAGTAAAAAATAAAAATACCTTTGAATATTTATAAGGGAATAGAGAGAGAGCTGCTTCCTCCCACGGATCACATTAACTATCTTGGCGTATCATTCTCCCTCCCTCTCAAACAGAGTGAGAACATCCTTAATACCTTCAGTCACTTCAAGTACGTCATTAGAAAATACTCATTCCTCTCTTTCTGTCTGTCTGTCTGTCTGTCTGTTAGTCTGTCTGTTAGTCTGTCTGCTTATCTGACTGTCTGGGTCTATTTCTGTCTCTCTGCACCTTTCTTTCTTCATCTCTCTCTTTTTCTCTTGCCTCCCACTTCTCTCTCACTCTCTCTCCCTCCCTACACTCTCTCTCCCCACCCCCCACCCACCCTCTCTCCCCACCCCCACCCACTCTCCCCCACCCCACCCTCTCTCCCCACCCCAACCCCTCTCTCCCCCACCCTCCCTCTCCCCCACCCCCCACCCTCTCCCCACACCCACTCTGCCTCTCTCCCTAAAGGTCATCCACCTGAACGCCGTCGTCTCCACCTCAGTATATTCACTATGGCAACGTCTTAACTCAATAACACCTGATTAAAAGTTAAAATTTTTGTATCTCTTAATCTTCCCCGAGGCCCTTCTGTTATCCTCAGCGCCTGGTGATGAAGGAAAACAACTTTACTGGGAGGAGGAGGAGGAGGAGGAGGAAGAGGTTGAATGAGAGGAAGAAGGAGAAAAGGACTAATAAGAGGAGGAATAAGATGAGAAGGGAGGGGGAGTCGGAGGAGGAGGAGGAGGAAGGACGAGAAGTAGTAAGAAGAAGAAGAAGAAAAAGAAGAAGAAGAAGAGGAGGAGGAGGAGGAGGAGGAGGTAGTGATGGTGGTGGGGGGAAGTGGTAGTGTAGTGGTGGGGGTGGTGGGGATAGAGGTGGTGGGAGGTAGTGATGGTGGTGGGGTAGTGGTGGTAGTAGTGGTAGTGGTGGGGAGAGGGTGGTGGAGGTAGTGATGGTGGGTGGGGGGTGGTAGTGTAGTGGTGGGGGTAGTAGTGGTGGTGGTGGGACAGAGTGTGGTGGAGTAGTGATGGTGGTGGGGGGTAGTGGGCATGGTGGGGGTAGTGGTGGAGATAATGGTAATACAATAGTAGTGATGGGGGATATTTAGGCTAAGACAATCTGAGAATTAGTTTAAAACCCATTTTTTTTATAGATAAATTTAAATGTTTTTACCTTAGACCTAAAATTACGATAAATATTCCTCGTAAAACTCTCTGAGAATCCTATCCTGCCTGAGATATCATTAAACCAGCCAAACTTCCTATTCAAGCTGTGACTTTCCTCCCTAAGTAAAGTCTGTTACTTTTCCTTATTAAAATAGAGATGTAGGAGGATTAATGTGAGAGGAGTACTTTAATGGTCACACTGAGACGCCTGAGTGTGTTGTGAACGACAGAGGAGTACTGAGACTGGGAGCACAAGATATACAGTACAGTACTACATGGACTTCCCCGTAACACTGAGGAATTGAGAAGTTGTGAGGTCTAGTAGTCAGGTTTATTGAAAAAAAAATAAAAAAAAACACGAGAAAGTATTATTATTATTATTATTATTATTATTATTATTATTATTATTATTATTATTATTATTATTATTATTATTATTATTATTATTATTATTATTATTACAGCGAGTACGAAGAGGAGGAGCACGTAGGGGTAGAGGCGCTGGGCAGGACGCTGGCTAAGAGAGGACAACATGCCGAGGCTGTGTCAGTGTGGGAACGTCGCATCCCAGCTACCAGGAACAGCCGCCAGAGGGCCTCACTCTTCCTCCTCATCGCCAAGTCCTATTTTGGTAATTTTTTGAACATGAAATTTCAAAAAATCATTATTATCCTCCTCCTAATTAGATGAATTAAGACGCTTTTAACAAACTCATTCAAACTACGACACAAAGATTTATTCTCAAACATCACTAATCTGATTTTTTTTCTTAAACTGAAGATTTGAGAAGGTCTCTGGTTACCTCCCTAAATTAAAGAACTTCGAGGTTGACTTTACCATCATGTAACTTCGAGGTCGACATTACTATTTAACTTTGAGATCAACTTAGCTATTCAAGTCGACTTTATTTCCACCAAACTTCTGGAGTGTGACCATTTACTTGAGAGGAGTATTGAGTATTAAGATTTTTTGGCTGGACACAAGTACGAGATGTTTATTATTTGGTAGTTATCCCTCGTTTGATTTTCTTCTTTCGTGTTTCTTCTTCTTGTTCTTCTTCTTGTTCATGTTCTTGTTCTTGTTGTTCTTCTTACTATTATCAATGTCTCATCAACTCACCACACACACCAACAATGTATTTTTTTTCATGAGGGAGATCCTTCAGTGATGGAGATGATCTTCTCCCTCAATAGCTTGTTGGGGAACGTGCCACTACCTCCTCGGAGTGTTGGAGATCTCCAGCCTTTCCTCTCGCAGTTCTTCATCAAAAATTTCCTTGTGTATTCTGGAGACTATCGTTAACCCGGTGCTTCGTGGACTTATATCTCCCTCCTTCCTTCCTTCTCTCCTTCATTCACTCCTTCCTTCACTCCTTCCCTCTCTCCCTCCTTCCTTCCCTCTCAACAAACACCCCCCCCTTAGTACCCGTCCCTAAATCCTTGAACAAATCCCACATCATAATCCCACGACAAGGAACAACCGAGTATTCATCCTAGCCGACTCCCTCTCCCTCCCTCTTGACAAAACTGCTTGGAGATGGAGGGAGGCCTGTGTTGTCCCCACCCCCCTCCCTCCCCCTCCTCCTTCTTTTACCCCTCCTCCTGGCTCCCCAAGACCTTCCCCATGCCTTCCTTGCACCCCCACCTGGCTACATGTTGCCTTCAAGTACACAATCTGCCGTGTTTAGCGAGAAATGTGGGACAATTATGTGTTCATTTGGGCGGTGCGGCGCGGTGGACCAGTCAGCGAGGAGGCTTGTTTTGTTTATTCATGAGACGGGCCGCCCGCTTCCCTCCACCAATCACAGGCAGCCTCTCCTCCTCCCCTGCCTCTCATTAAACCGAGCTGGGCTACACATATTTTCATTCATAATATATATATACAAAAATATATGAATAAATATGTATATAACTTACTATTTCTGATAATGAATTCATATTTTGGAGTAAACTTGGTCTTGATTTATCAGCAAATCTTACCATAAATAAACACTGACTCTTATTAACTCACAGGATGGATAGGATTTGATCATCTAACTCTCTCACACGCACACACACACACACACACACACACACACACACACACACACACACACACACACACACACACACACACACATTCTCTCGTGACAAACAATAACCTATTTTCTTAATAATTTGACCCTATGTTACTACCTTTGACCTGCCATGACCTTTGACCTATTTCCTCAGCCATGCGGAAGGTGGAAACAGGGAGGTTCTACGGTACCAAGAGTGTTAAGGAGGCGGATGATGGAGAAGACACACGTACGGCCCTGTCAGCTCTTCTCACCCTAGTCGAAGCTGACGGTAAGTGGGTATGGTGTGGGTAAGGTATGGTTAGGGTGTGGGCATGATGTAAATAGGGTGTGGGTATGATGTGGGTATGGTGTGGGAAAGGTGTGGATATGGTATGGGCATAAGGAGTATTGATTTTTTTGCAGCTTACAGCGGTTAGTTTATTGTGCACCCCATACTTATCCTGTGAGCGGTAGCGCAGAAGGATACAGAGTGAGTATAACTAACCCCCGTGGTCAGGATATTATGGCACTGAATGTTACAGAGTATTTCAAATAAATTCTTTGTTTAGTTCTATACACAAAGGGTAACTTATTCACAACTTCGTGAGTACAGGAGTGTGAGGCAGTGTGTCTGGCCTCACACTTTGTTATTCACATTTGCGTGGGAAGTGTTCAAGAACATTGTGTGTTTGGTTCTGTACATGGGGACTGATATAGCTACCAAGTGCAAATAAGGTGGATACAATCTTAATATGTCGGCTATCTTGGCATCAGAGATAAAGTGATGTACCATTTCACAAACAGTGTGCTTGGACCTGTCCCTTAAAGGTTCTATCTTGACACAGTCGAGGATTTAGTGTTCAAGTGTGTGGCCATATGTATGCTGTGGATATGGGGTGGGTGTGGTGTGGATATGGGGTGGGTGTGGTGTGGATATGGGGTGGGTGTGGTGTGGATATGGGGTGGGTGTGGTGTGGATATGGGGTGGGTGTGGTGTGGATATTGGGTGGGTGTGGTGTGGATATTTATGAAGTCCCTGTGTACTTTTAGACTATAACAACTTTGAATACTTTACTTCAGGGTAGAGAGAGAGAGAGAGAGAGAGAGAGAGAGAATCACTCACAGAATCCTCCTGCACAAAGTCCTTACCATACTGTCCTCTCCTAAACCATTTCCTTAAGATATTATATTTTTATCTTAAGTTAAATAGACAATTCCTCTCTGATGCATTATTACAAACGAGGAAAATTTATCGTACGAGCATATATGACTACGGGAACACGGCCATTAATGCACGGGTCGTTGTGTTGTGTTTACCGTTGATAGCGTATTCAGTCCTTCTTTTAAAAGCATTCACAACAGGATCAAAATCTTTTTAAAAAATAATTTGCTGTATTAAATCTTTTTTCATTTCCCCGAGGCATTTATTTTATACATATAAATTTATGAAACGCGAAAATATATGAATGTTTTAATATATTGGGCGGGAAAGAAAAACAAAATTTATATGTGTAATTTTCAAACAGATTAAAAATGTACATGAGAATTTTGATCAACAGATATAAAATATAGATATAATGTATATGGGTGATTTATACACACAGATAAATCTAGACACCAATATATATGAAGTGTTTTAATATGTAAAGAGAGGAGGAAGGTGGAGCGGTGAGGGAAACAACTGGCGGGTGGATGCGGGATTGACCTGGTTGTCATGGTAACGTTGACGCGACAGCTGGTGGTAGTGTATGTGGGTGTGGGGAAGTGTGTGTGTGGGTATGGGGAAGTGTGTGTGGGTATGGGTGAGTGTGTGTGTGGGTATGGGTGAGTGTGTGTGGGCGTGGGGAGTGTGTGTGTGGGCGTGGGGGAGTGTGTGTGGGTATGGGGGAGTGTGTGTATGTGTGTATGTCTGTGTGAGAGAGAGAGAGAGAGAGAGAGAGAGAGAGAGAGAGAGAGAGAGAGAGAGAGAGAGAGAGAGAGAGAGAGAGAGAGAGAACACAAATAATTATCAAACTAAAAAACCAAAAAAAAAACACATCTTTAACAATATTTTTTACTCTAATGTCATAAGAACGAGATAAAATTTGGTCGCATTTCAATTATTTATACCGAAAAAAAAACCCACGAAAAAATCCCAACCTGAAAAAAATATACTAAAATATTTGAATGATTTAATTACATGATTTATTGACACGTGTGTTCACCTGGCCTTATGAACTCATCAACACAATTATCAGAGCGAGAAACACAACATTAAAACTGGTGGCGTCAGATTCACTAAGGGTTCGTATGTTAAGTATTTCGTATCCCGGGGGATTCACACTCAACCATACTCACCCACACCCACCCATACTCAATCATACTCACCCACATTCATCCAGACTCATCCACACCCACCCACACTCATTCAAACCCCACCCACAGGTGACCCCTTCTCCCCAACACACACACACACACACACACACACACACACACACACACACACACACACACACCGTACTTTGTCAACTGAACCTTTTATAACACTACACTATATCTCTTTCTCATCCACCCAGACCCTGCCTCTTACCACCCTCACAGAGAGTCCACAGCAACACACGATATACTGTACAGCCACACCGTATAGCCACACCGTGTTTGTATTCAGTGTTGTGGGCGGCTTTCACTCATAACATTACCACTCTCCAGTTTCTAATGCTTCCCAATAGTCTTTGTTATTCTGTAATAATACTCATTTAAAATCATGTCAATAAAAAACCGTATGGTGATTTTTTATAGGCTGATGAGTTTTGTAATTTGTCTATGAACCGTTAAAGTGTTTGTTTACTTTGTGATATTTGAAGAAAGTTTTATAATTGGACTATTGGTATTATCGTGTACTGCCGCGTCAAGGGAGTACACGAGAGAGAGAGAGGGGGGGACTACACTACACTACACTACACTACACTACACTACACTACACTGCACTACACTACACAACACTAGCTCGCTTTATACACACGTGAGTTCGACTTTAATCTAGTGTTTATGTCGACTCGATATTTCACAGCCAGCGCCGAGTGTTCAGGAGAGTTATATGAAGGTATTCAGGCATAATGCATCACTGACACCCACGTCCAGACAGCCAGGACAAATATATGCATACACTGAGGGTATAAATATTTCCTCAAGATGAATAATGCGAGCCTTGTTGACGCCACAGTACAGGGATCTCTCTACCGCCTTTCTGGATCCGCTGCTCTTTTGTTCTCACTCAGATAAATATCGCCAGTCGTGTTGACGTTACACAACTGGATCATCTCTAACTCCTGGAACCGCTGCGCTTTTGTTGACATGAACGTATACAATTTACTTTCACTTATAACTCTGTGTTGTGGTTTTAGATTTTACTGACAAGACCATTTATGGGAAAATATATATAAATAGCTTTATTTCACAAACTTTTTAAACCAACTTGTCAATTTCACTATTCCATTCTGTCACAACTCTCAAACTTAACATTTATCTAAAGGTTTAAGTTACAAATTTAATGTCACACACGACGATGTCAGACAGTTTTAACCCGGTGTTTGAGATAATGTGGCAGAGTCAGGCTGTGTCAAGCAGGAAGAGATAAGCAACCTCTTTTCGTAGGTGACAGGCCAAAGCATCCACGCTGTCTAAGAGGTGTTTGACATTTTCTCTTCTGTTTCCTCTCACGTTTATAAGTTTATTGTTTTAGCCCATCAAATACTTGCTTAAAAATCATTAAAAAAAGCCAAATAATTTCTCTAGATCTTAATTTTAGTGAAAATTCTCAAAATAAAGGATAATTTTCCCTGTTCCTCTTCCTTTTGCCAGTGTATATTTGTTTTCATTTTGTCGAAACTTACACACACACACACACACACACACACACACACACATACACACACACACACACACACACACACATCACACACACACACACATCCATCACCTCCCTCCCTCCCCCTCCCACCTCCTCACCTCCCACCTCCTCCCTCCACACGCAGAAAACCGCATAAAAACGAATTGATAAACAAACGAGTTAATTAATATACAAATAGAAAGTGTACCGGTGGCTGTCAGGGGCCGCCAAGTGTCAAAATAACAGCGACCAGCCACACCACACGCACTCCCTCACCCTCCCTCACCCCCCTCACCCTCCCTGCCACACCCCTCCCTCGCTCTCGCCCTCCTCCTCACCTGACAGGAGTGAGCCAATCACACCACAGGTAAGTGGCACTAGTCTCTGAGGTGGCACTGGTCTCTGAGGTAAGTGGCACTGGTCTCTGAGGTAAGTGGCACTGGTCTCTGGAGGTAAGTGGCACACTAGTCTCTGAGGTAAGTGGCACTGATCTCTGAGGTAAGTGGCACTAGTCTCTGAGGTAAGTGGCACTGGTCTCTGAGGTAAGTGGCACTAGTCTCTGAGGTAAGTGGCACTGGTCTCTGAGGTAAGTGGCACTGGTCTCTGAGGTAAGTGGCACTGGTCTCTGAGGTAAGTGGCACTAGTCTCTGAGGTAAGTGGCACTAGTCTCTGAGTAGTGGCACTCTCTGAGGTAAGTGGCCCTGGTCTCTGAGGTAAGTGGCACTGGTCTCTGAGGTAAGTGGCACTAGTCTCTGAGGTAAGTGGCACTAGTCTCTAAGGCAAGTGGCACTATCTGCTCACACACACACACACATACACACACACACACACTAATATCGTTGCGGATATTTTGGATAGCGGTGATTCTGACTCAAGCGGTTGTATTATCCACATGAAACTGATCTTGTGTGTGTGTGTGTGTGTGTGTGTGTGTGTGTGTGTGTGTGTGTGTGTGTGTGTTTCGGCACGTCTGATTACACTCAGTCTCCTGGTATGCTGAGCGGATATGCTGAGTGTGTATGCTGAGTAGTATGCTTAGGAAAAATACTTAGTAATATGCCAAGTGTGTGAGCTGTGTGTGTATGCTGAGTAGTATGCTGAGTGTGTGTATGCTGTGTGTGTATGCTGAGTGTGTGTATGCTGAGTGGCAAGGTGTTTGGTATGCTGACAATAAGTGGTGTATGCTGAGTATGTGTAATAAGTGGTATGTTTGAGTATACTGAATATGCATGATTGATATACTGACTATGCTGAATAGTATGCTGAACAAATAAACATACAAAATAATACACCAAAAAAACAAAAAACAACTATTAAAAGTGTTTACAAAATGTCGAATGCTTTTTTTTTATATATAAATACCCAATACTAACTCACATAACCCATAAAGACTCTACATCGCTTGATATATAAAACGAAACGAATATATGTAACAATATACCAGTATATATTATATGTAAAGTATATACGAACATATATATATAGTCAAATATCAAGCCACAATAACATTAACTGGAAACTCACTCTTACGTTTAACCCGGTGTAGCCAAATTATGGGTTGAGCATTTACATGTCATCAAATCGTATGAGGTTGGGTGCTGGTGTGTTGGGTCCAGGCACATGTATATATATATCTGATTCAGCCACATATATATCCGGTTGAGGCATATATATCTGGCCACTAGCCTGATGTACACACCAATCTGACCCACCACCGTGCTCACTAGTCGTTGATGATGTGTGACGTATTCCCGGGAATCTGGAATGGGTGATCTGGAATATGAGGCCATGAGGGGAAGTGGGTGTGTGGGTAGGGGGGGAGAGGTGTGGGTGTGGGTAGAGTGGTGGTGTTAGGGGTGGGTGTGTGGGTAGGGGGAGGTGTGGGTGTTGGTAGGGAGGAGGTGTGGGTGTGAGTGGTGGACTGGTGGTGTTGGGGGTGAGGTGTGGGTGGGGGAGGTGTGAGTGTGGAGTAGGGAGGTGTGGGTGTGGGTAAGTGGTGGTGTTAGGAGGTGGAGATGTGTGGGTAGGAGAGGAGAGTGTGGAGTGGGGGAGGCGTGGGTGTGGGTAGGGGAGGTGTGGGTGTGGGTAGAGTGGTGGTGTTAGGGGTGGGTGTGTGGGTAGGGGAGGCGTGGGTGTGGGTAGGGGGAGGTGTGGGTGTGGGTAGAGTGGTGGTGGTAGGGGTGGGGTGGCAAGCTGGGAGTGGGGGTAGTGGGGTGTGGGTAGGGGGTGTGGGAGTGTGGGTAGGGGATGGTGGGGGCGTAGGAGTGTGGGAAAGGGGGCACTGAGATAGTAGTAGTAGTAGTAGTAGTAGTGTGTGTGTGTGTGTATCTGTTTATTTGTATGTGTTCGTAGTGTAATAATACTGTGTGTAATATCCCATTGTACACACACACACACACACATACACACTCACACACACACAAATTAAATGCAAAACACACTGAAACAAATATACAAAACAACGTACACATACTTACACACACATACACGCACATAAAATATAATTGCCCATTACATTATGTTGTTGTGTACATATTGTGTGGCTACAATATATAGGGGAGGGATATTTTCCATTTACATGTGGTGTTTAGGGTTAAGAGCTACGCGTACGGCGGAAAATGTACGGCTCTATACAACAGCAACAGCAACAGCAACAGCAGCAGCAGCAGCAGCAGCAGCAGCAGCAGCAGCAGCAGCAGCAGCAGCAGCAGCAACAACAACAACAACAACAACAACAACAACAACAACAACAACAACAACAACAACAACAACAACAACAATAACAAATTCACAACAACAACAACAACAACAACCACAACCCATTAACAAAACAACAACAACAACAACCAGCAACAACAACAACCACAACCACAACCACAACAACAACACAACAACAACAACAACAACAACAACAACAACAACAACAACAACCACAACCACAACAACACAACCACAAACTACACAAACCACAACAATAACCACACAACAACAAAACAACAACAACAACAACAACAATAATAGACAAACTGATCCATATTGATGCAGATTTATTTTTTTTCTCAGTTGAACGAAGATCAATTTTATCATTTATAATTTGCATAATTATTACTTGTGAACGTATCTGAATTATTGTCTTTGTTTAGTTTAATATTTAAGCGCTGCACTTCTCTCCCTAAGGTATGTTTAGGGTGTTGAACCATCAGGTGAAATAAACTGAGGTGTTAAATTAATCTTCGAGTGATCTGAATTCAAGTAGAAAACCATTCAACTCTCCTCAGGCGATACAAAGCGAATTCGAATCAAGATGGCGGGAAGGGTTCGGTTCATACTCAAAGTCCCTCAAGCAAATCACAAAACAGAATTATTGAGAACAAGCCGCCAGAAGTTTAGTGCTCTCGACGCCCTTGGTGCCTGGGCTGGAGGAGTACCTTGATAGCCCTCGAGGAGTAACTTGATAGCCCTCCACCTAATGATTAAGGCTGTGGATTGTGGTATAGTCGACGGCTCAAAGTCAAGTCAAGTCCGCATGTTTCCGAACGTTCAAGTGTTGGGAAACTCGCACCACCATCTCGAAGCTTCGGTCTCTTTATGGCGGGTTATTGGCCGAGCGCTGGAGGGCGACCCAAAATGTATTACGGGATTTCTATCAAAATATTGTTAAGCCATTTATCGGGGGTCATCTATTGCTAAATAATACTTCCAATTTATACCCAGGATTTAAGATGATATAGTAATTAGCAATAACAAAGCAATATGGATAGCAATGATTATAACAATTTACGATGAGGGATTAGTAGCCGGCTGCAAAATGTCTAAACTACCGCCACATTGGTTACATATATATATATATATATATATATATATATATATATATATATATATATATATATATATATATATATATATATATATATATATATATATATATATATATATATATATATATATATATATAATGTCATAGAAATAATTTGAATACATTACTAAGTTTTGTGAATAAATTATATGTATTTGTGTGTGTGTGTGTGTGTGTGTGTGTGTGCGCTAGTTCTTGGGGGAATATACAACCCTTCAATAACCCTGTATTATAAAATCATAATATCAGTCTTACCTTCTTCACTCGCCACAGCTCGACAGGATAACGCAGAAGGAGCCCTGAAGACCCTAGAGAAGTGCAGTCCTCACCTGGCCTCCGCCCCTCCACACCTGCTGGAGGAATACAACAACCTCAGGAAGCAGCTCTGTAAGGAGGAGCCTTCTTCTTAGTGAGGAGGAGGAGCAGTAGGAAGAGTAGGGGGAGGAGGAGCAGTAGGAGGAGGAGGAGGAGGAGGAGGAAGGAGGCGGAGGAGCAGTAGGGAGGAGTAGGGGGGAGGAGCAGTAGGAGGAGTAGGGGAGGAGGAGCAGTAGGAGGAGGAGGGGGAGGAGGAGCAGTAGGAGGAGTAGGGGGAGGAGGAGCAGTAGGAGGAGGCGGGGGAGGAGGAGAAGGGAGGCGGAAGAGGACTTTCTTTTTGATGAGGAAGAACGAGGTATGTAAATAGGTAAATAAAGAAAATATCAAGGAGAATCAGAGAGAGAGAGAGAGAGAGAGAGAGAGAGAGAGAGAGAATTATGAATATCTCTCAAATATCTTAGAAAATCACCCGAATCTTTAATTGAATCGTCTGAATCTTCACTAGAATCACCGGAATCTTAAGAATCTTGGAGAATCATCTCTTGTATATAACTCAACAGCCTCATTGCCACAATAAATACCATTATGTATTTATCATGTATCTCGTTACAAATATGTGTAGCTATGTATCTAATATGTACCTATATGTACAGGTATACGTAAGTTATATTATGTATCACTATAGGTATGTATATGTATTATTATCTTATTATTTACACCTGTATATATATACGTGTCACCTTCATATACCAAACGATCATGTCTGCTATTGTATATAATAAATTCTCACACATTTCATACAAACCTCAATACATTTATTTCTCAATGTATACAACTTCACTCTTTCATTAAACAATAAACATTAGTATTTGTTTTAATAGTGTTATGTATTTTTTCATTCAGTGTTTATAAACATTTTCATCTACATTCTGTATATATTAATGTTTTTAGTGTATGTATGTATGTAATAATAATAATAATAATAATAATAATAATAATAATAATAATAATAATAATAATAATAATAATAATAATAAACGGTTTATTAATAGAGTTGCAGCCGGTGGCTGAAAATATACAGACTTACATTTGATTTAGACATAATGATATAATATGCGTTGAATACATTTACAGGGCTGTACAGTACATAAATCAGGAGTTGTTTATTATTTTAACAATAGATGGGATGGTGCTATTCTTATATCTATCGGTGCGGGCTCTTATGGGCTGAATTTTGTTGTAGTGGCGGACTGCGTGAGGTGGGAGGGGGATTGCAGGTGGCAGGAGGTGGCGATGACGAGGGTGGCGCAGTAGTCCACTGCCAAACCTTTCCAGTGCTTGGTGGTGGAGGTCACTGAGGGATGGCATTTCCAGGGTGGAGAGAGCGTTGGTGTAGCCGGAGTATTCTGCGCCGAGCATGATTCTGCAGGCCCTTTTCTGTACCTTCTCTAGCCGACGTTGTTGGGTGGAGTTGAGAGAAGACGACCAGGCTGGTGACGCATATGTAAGTTTGGGGAGAATAATGGCGTTGTAGATGGTCCTCAGTTCTGGCGTGGGTGTCTCAAGTGACCTAAGTCGTCGTAGCATGTAGAGACGGTACGAGGCTGCCTTGACTCTGTTATTTACATGGGCCTTCCAGGAGTTTGGCAAACTGCACCAGCTGGAGAGGATGGGCACCCACTGTGACTGCTGGGGCTTGCACTGGAGTGGTGGCGGTATTGATGTGTGTGTATGTATGTATGTATGTATGTATGTATGTATGTATGTATGTATGTATGTATGTATGTATGTATGTATGTATGTAATGTAGGTTTGTATGTATGTAATAAAAAAGCCGTTAATATCTTTTGTTAAGTGTTATTGTTAAAAATTTTGTATTAATAATGTTAATCTGAAGTTAATGTTTATATCACTGAAATGACTGAAATTAACAGACTATTGGGGATTGTTAAATTTACTTTTTTCCATTAAATGTTCAGTGTTTAATTAAATGTTGAATTTATTGAATGTGAAAATTACAATGTTAAAATTTCTATGTGTTTACGTTAATAAGAATAATGTTAATTTATTGCTTCTGAAATGTATTGTTAATTTTGAGAGATTATCGGGTTAACAGGTTTAGTGTTCAGATGACAACAAATTATGTTTATAAAGTACGTTTTAGGTCAGATAATCATAGAATATGTTGAATGTTACCAAAAACTTTAACATTTGTCGATAATAAGTTAAAAGAAGTTGTAATTGACGATTAATTCACTTCAGTTAAGAGTTAGATAAAAAAAAGGGGATATTGTGTTTTTGTAGAATGTGTAGAATGTTTATGTTACTGAATGTTATGTTTACTGAATGTTAATAATGTTAAATATTCATCCTACGACCAACTTATATTTTATGGTATATTTTAAGTTAGTTTAAGGGTTTGTCTTGTTGAATTAACTTGTTTAGGATTATATTACAACTTGTATGTAACTAAATTATATTAAAATCAAACTTGTTTACAATAGTCTTTATTAACAAAGTAGAATAAATTAACTTGTCATTGAGGAGTTGAGTCATAAGAAATTATCATAACTTTTTACCAAATGAGCAACTAATCTAACAACCATAAGAATCATTAAAAATATATATAACAATACTCGACTACTACTACTACCACTACTACTACTACTACTACTACTACTACTACTACTACTACTACTACTACTACTATTATTATTATTATTATTATTATTATTATTATTATTATTATTATTATTATTATTATTATTATTATTATTATCATTATTATTATTATTATCAATATTATTATTATTATTATTATTATTATTATTATTATTATTATTATTATTATTATCATTATTATCATTATTATTATTATTATCATTATTATTATTATTATTATTATTATTATTATTATTATTATTATCATTATTATTATTATTATCATTATTATTATTATTATATCCTTGACAGATATTCTTCACACCATACACTCAATTATCACCATCCTTGAAAAAAAACACACAAACACAAACTGACCTCCACCTCACGTTCATTAGCAATTCCAATGAGCAAAAAAACAGGTTTAATAACCCAGAGGTCAAGTGTCATTACCGAAACACTAACATTTTGTGAATATTTACCAGATATACGAAGATAAACAAACAATATCACTTCATTAATAGGTACAATATAATTTGAACATAGATTGAGACATATAATTTATTTTGGCCGTCAAGATGGTGTTTTTTTTATTCTATTCAATGTATTTTGCCTTTATTTTCATGTATTTTTTAAGTCAATTTCCCCCAATAAGGTTTATGCATGGATGGAACTTTTCATATTTCACCTCCATTGTTAACTTGTAACCAACACAATGATTGACTAAGTTAGACTGCAGGTGCTGGTAGGAGAGAGAGAGATAACGCGTCACTGAGTCAGTCAATGAGTCCTTCAGTTAATCAGTCGGTAAATAAGTCAGTCAGTTAGAAAAAGGTTTATTGGGTGGGGTAAGGCAGGTAAAAACAAGAGTATTTTGATTGCATATTCCATTACCTGGGTCACGAGAGGTGTAAGGAGGGCAAGTGTGTGTGTGTGTGTGTGTGTAATGTGTATCACTGGTATTAACTTCTACCTACCTATTCATGCCCTAACCTTGACCTTTGACCTTTGACCTTAACCTTGACCTTTGATATTGACTTTTGACCTTAACCTTTGACTTTGACCTTAAATATAGGGGTCAAGGGTGCCGTACATCAGATCACTGAGTAATAGTGGACTTAAACACGTACAGATGATTGACGGACAGACAAACTTACGTACGGTCAGTTGATGTTATATTATTATCACTGTATCTTAACAAATATATAAGATCTTTTAAGGGCATATTATAGGTTTAGTAAATAATAATAATAATAATAATAATCTTCAACAACTAAAATGTTTATATTTTATCTCCGGGGAAATTTACGGTAAGGTGGACGTAATATTTATCTTTAGTACGTTAAGTTATTGACGACTCGTGGGGCAGCGATGCGTGAAGAGATGCGTGAGGAGGTGCGTGAGGAGGTACAGGAGGAGGAGGAGGAGGAGGAGGAAGTGTGTGAAGGGATGCGTTGAGGAGGAGGAGGTGAGTGAATAGATGCGTGAGGAGGAGGAGGAGGAGGAGAAGAAGGTGCGTGAAGAGATGCGTGAGGAGGAGGAGGAGGAGGAGGATATGCGTGAGGAGATGCGTGAACAGGTGCGTGAAGCAGGGAGGGTTTCAATACCTTAAGAACATTATTGAACCATATGTAACCCGATTACGTAGTAGGGTTTTGAATATCTAATTAAATAATCCAATAGAGATTTAGAAAGTAAGAACAACATTAAAAATAAATAAAAAAAAGTACCTATTGGCTTGACCCTCACGATTATTAAATAAATAAACGAGAGAAAGAAAAAAAACACCGGTAATATACAGCATTGGATTCCTTAAAATTGATCATAATGGATTCCACTGCCAAAGAACGAACAGAGAGCATCAATAACCACCAAATAGCATTAGATTCTGTGACAATAATGCAGATGGCGTCGATATCCCTGTCACAATCACCAGGTCTGACACGCATACAACATCCACAGCCAATCCATGTCACAATAAATCAATACAGTTACTTACTCGTGTAGATGGTGGAGGTATTTATATCAGTGAGCGCCATTGATTACTTCACACACCCACGACACATACAGAGAGAGACGTGAGTCAGTCATCGGCTTATTATTAAGACTTTCTCAGAATTCTAATTAAGATTCTATTTCCAATTATTTATTCAGAAACATTATTCCAGGGATTATTACAGGTACATGAAGACTTCGAGGTACAGGTACAGGTACAGTACAACTACAGATACAAATATAGGTAAATGCTGGCAACGAGTGGTGTCAGGTGTACACTGTCAGCTTAATAGCTTAACGAATGAATATTGTGCAAGTGAAGGTTTAAATCACACTGTTTGTATATTTTGATGAAGGTTTATAAAGCAAACACCATTACGCTGATTCCTGACAACTGTGCTAAACATCATACAGAGTTTGTGTAGTTATGATAAAGATAAATATTACAAACTGTGTATCAGGATATAAGA